TAGGAAGGTTGGAAGTTGATGATAGTTTCCCTTCCCCAGTTTCCCTTTCTACTCCAGTATCTCACCTCCCTTTCAGGAGCCACATCTCTCTGCTTGCAACACACATTTGAAGGACTTACCCTGCACCTCAGAAACAGCATCGGGCTCTTTAAGCCTGCTGCTCCTTCTTCTCTAGAGAGGAACATGAGCAATCATAGGGTCTTCATTTTAGGAGAACTCAAAGAGAAAGGGTTGCAAAGCTTGGCAGATGTGAATGGTAAGACCTGTTCTTGGTGTAAGATTTCTATCCCAAGAAACCATGTCTCTTTTGGCAACCATTGCTCTCTTGTGCAATGGTTGTAAGAGTTTCATGATATAATGAATAGATTCTTACCTGCCATTATTTTCTCTCAAACAATGGAGACCCTGGGGAAGCGGTGGTCTCAATGCTCAATGCTTTGGCTTCACCTAAACCCTACATTAATCCCCCAATCTTGTTATTCTTTTAAACTTCAAATCTTCCTCTCATAATGAGAGGCAGCTGGACTAAGTTTTGACTTTGTGCCAGGAATTTAAATCCCTTTTGCTTTTTATTCTTGGACTCTATTCCCCTCCCCCATCTCTGCCAAGTTCTAGCTTGTCCATGGAAGAAGGCAAAGGTTTCTCACCTACTAGATAGACAAGCTTGCCTTCCTTTCTTGTCCCTGCCCACATTCACTCAACCTTCCTGGTACTTAGGGAGTTTATCTCTAGGACATACTTATCTGGGTTGAGGCTACAGAGAAAAAGGAGAAGTCTAACAGGAAGCCCAAATAAGTACTTCCTCTCATTTACCTTTGAACTTTGGAGGCACCCCAGCCGAACAGCAGAGCAGAGAATCAAAGTGAAGAGACTTAAAAAAAAAAAGAAAAGAAAAGAAAGAAAGAAATTGTCAACCATAAGGAAGTGGAAAATATTACCAGTCTTTGCCTTGCCTAGGGCAGCTCACTCAAGTTTTCCTCCTGTGTTATCCATGGATGGGGAAGGTGAGAACAGTGTCCGGGATGGGTGGGAGGAAACCCTCAGTGACTGTGGAGGCAGAGTGCTTATCTGGAGAAAGGCTGGGATGGGACTGGGTAAGTCCATTTTCACTATCTCCTATTCTGCAGCCCCAAGGAATGCTGGGAAGTAGTACTTATGGAAGTAGGCATCTCCTTATGGCAATGGCTTGGGGTCCTGCCCCCTGTTCCCTGCACTTTTGGGAAAATGTTCTTTACTCTGTGCCATAGTATGGGTGTTAGGTACCAGCTTCCTGGTTCCTCATGCCTTTTGTCATTCAGAAAGATCCCATACACAGGTGCCATCTCTATTGCCTGCCTCTAAGAATGGTGGGAATAACTCCCTTTCGTCTCTGCCTTAAGATCACTGTATTCTCATGTGTGACATCCCTACTTTCCTCTCTTCTCTGGCCCTGACATGACAATTCCCCAGGATCCTTCCTCTACAGCCACAGGTAGCAGCGGCAGCTTCCTCATCTCTTTTAATAAATTGCAATTTTTCTCATCTGACTCTGACCCGTGCTTCTGCTGTGGGTAGAGGAAGAGAGGTGGGTGCTGTAATCAAGGCCTGGTGTCATGAGGAACGGAGGAGAAGGAATGAGCATACATTGTTTGTCCCTAGGTTCTAACAATCAGACATTCTGCAAGTATTGCTTTCTTTCCCATAGCTTCTCGATTCCTGTCCTATAAGTCTCCACTGCTGTCACTGGCTCAATGCTGTCTTTGTGATGTTCTTATATCATGAGACATGTGGCTGGTGCTCTGTGTCTGCAGATTCTATAACCAAATGCTCATCCAGCCACAGATAGGAAATGGCTTTAAAAATTGGATCCACCCTTAATATGGATAGAGTTTCTTTTCTTTGTCATTGTTCCCTAAACAACAGTGTCACAGCTACACACAGAGCATTGGTTTTGCTACTATGAGTCAGCTAGAGATGGCTCAAAGTATATGAGAGGCTGTGTATATGTTATGTAAAAGAACTATACCATTTTCTATAAGGAACTCTGACAGATTCTGGAACCAATTTCTTCCTTTGGTTAACTTGCTTCTTCATAAGCACCAGGTTTCTCTACCTGGTTGAGATTGAGTGAGACAGGGTCAGACTGGTTGTCCCTTCACAAGAATCTTCTTTGTTTCCAATGCTGGGCCTTCACTGGTCCCCACCTGCTGCTCTGCTTCATGCTCACACTCGGGAGAACAAGACCTTGACATGAGCCCAGTTCTCATCATCCTGATATCTCTGGTATCTCGGGCTAAGTGCAAAGGCTTACCTGTTTTCCACATAAAGAGACCTACTTTGGAATAAATGAATGGACATATAGTCATAGACATTCTCCTGGTTTCCTGAAAGCCTTGTTGTTTATAAAAACTGCCCTGCTTTGGAAGTTTCTAGAACACTTCGGCCAGACACAGATGTGAAATTTAAATTATTGGGAAATCACCCAAGGGTGGGAAAAGTCTAAGGCCTGAGGCAAGTTTCAGCTTTGGTCATTCTCTCTCTCTCTCTCTCTCTCTCTCTCTCTCTCTCTCTCTCTCTCT